TTTCATAACGCGGCTAAAGAAGTATAACTTCAAAAAGCCAAAGAATTAAAAAAAAAATGTGTTGGACCACCCTTATGCGCATGACCACGCTTAGGGCATGGGTATGGCAAATAGTTTACGTACTATTCTCAAACCTTTTGAATATGCGCAGAATATTTTATGAGAAATAGTCAAGTCCTTTCGGAGGAGTTTTGTTATAAACACTACGACACGAAAATTTTATATAAGCACTAGCGGACCCGACAGAAGTTGTCCTGTCTACACGTCTTTGTGAATCTAAACCATTCTCAGATCCCCTTGAACACACACAAAAAATTTCATCAAAATCGGTCCAGTCGTTTAAGAGAAGTTCAGTGACATACACACTCACAGAAGAATTATATATATAAAAGACTTCGTCCGCGTTTACTTTAGTTTTTCAGAATACCACAAAAACCTGTAATATTTCCGTGATAAAAAGTATCCTATGTCTCGTCTGGGTCATAAACTTTAAGCGTACCAAATTTCATCCAAATCCGTTGGGAAGTGTTTATATATTTTATTTATAATATTAGTAGGCTTAGAGAGAATTTATTTATATATTTTTCATCCCACCACCTCGGAAAGTGTAATTTTGCGCTTCGAAATCTGGCTGGAAAATTCTATTTTATTCGCTTGAGCGGCAAAGTAGATTTGAATTTAGAACATCACATATAATGAGTACTCAATATAATTGTAAATTCAAAACGTCATTAAACCTATTTAATGTAACCTCTATGGTGCCAAATTTATGATTAGAACTTTTTAAATTGTGAAAAAATTTAAATTTGGAACCTTCTTGGTTTCTTTGTTTTATTTGCGTGCTTCGCGCCATTCTAGTTTTTCACGTTTTATTGCTTAAATATTTTGTCATTATAAATTGTTTTCTTTTTCATTTTGTCATTTCCTCGCTGAGGTGGGATGAAAAGTTACGTATTGCACTCGAGTGGAAAGATTTTTCACCTTGTGCTCGTTTGTTTCCCTCGCTGACGCTCAGGATTCTAATTTAGAATCACTCGCTGCGCTCGTGATTCAACTTTAGAATCCTTCGCTTGCTCGGTCATCCAAATCGAGCACGCGGTTAAAAAGGAACTTTCCACTCTTGTATAATAAATAACTATTTAACAGTATCTAAAGTTTTATTCAGTTTAGACTGCTCCAAGGGCGCTGGCAGTAATAACATTCCTTCAACATTTTGGAAAAACTGGTCTAAAACATTGACTTCTCCACTAACATATATTTTTAATAGATCACTATCTGAGGGCACTTCTCCCACCACTTGAGAAAAATCTCACATTATGCCGTTACACAAAATAAAGACTCCAAAACAAAGGTGTACAGAGGCATTTCCATACTTAATACAGTAAGTAAAGCCTTCGAAAAAATTGTGTGTGCAGCGATTTACCCTGTTATTTATAAAGGATTATCAGATCGTAAGCATGGTTTTCTTCGCCGTCGCTCCACTATTACTAATTTATTCACTTTTGTGTATTACACTTTCACGAATATAAACAGCGCTGGACAGGTATACGTGATCTACACGGATTTCAAAAAGACTTTCGATTGCGTAGATCACATCATCTTGCTTCACAAGCTTTATAGTCTGGGGATCCACGAAGACTTGTTACGTTGGATACAGTACAGTCATACTTAGAAAAACCGCTCTAAGGCAGTTTGTTTTGGGTGGATATAGATCAAACTTCATATCAAACAACAGGTTTCGCATCTAAGGCCTTTTTTTTATAGCGCTTACTTATACGACATTGGGTATGCCGAACATTTGTTATATGCAGACGACAAAAAATCTTTCTTCTCATCGAAAATATACATGATTGCGAATCTCTACTATCCGATCTATACAATCTTAGCAAAGTATTACTTGGAAGACATAATCACTGTCAATATAGGCAAGTGTCAGTGCATTTCATATACATGAAAAAGCAAGTCTAATCAATACAAATGTACACTCAATAATAATTGAGTTATTGTGGAAGGTAATAGCCTTCCTACCAATAGGTAAATGTTGCAAAAGTGACGGAGATTAGAGATTTGGGAGTTATTTTTGATAGTAGGATGTTTTTAACCCCTCATATAGACTACGTTGTTAACAAGGCCTAAAAGAGCTTGGGCTTTGATCTGCGTTCGTGCAAACCCTTTGTAGCCCGAGATGCCGCTGCAAAATTCTGCACCCATCTGTTTTTTTGATGAAACCTAGTTTGATGTGAATGATTAGTGAGTATAAACTGCAATAATCATGGGTTGCTTAAAAAAAAGTAGCCATAAATATGTACACATATTAAATTTAGTGACATCCATTTTTTGAGAAATTTGCATCTATATTTTTTCTTAATAAAAATATTTTTTCTTAATAAAATTTACGTCATCTGAAAGGAAATGCTGATAAACTCAAAAAACAATGGTTGTCACCTCTCAATCAGCTGCAACCTTAGGGTTGCCACGGATGAACAGGTTCATTCCTGTTGATTATTTACATCCATCTGTCTTTTATAGATATTTAACCTAATCGTAGTTTCAAGTACGCTCTACACGATAAGCCATGGTTGCCATTTAAAGTGAGCATGTGAACCACCACTTAAAGCCATATAAAAACCATATAGAATGAATGTGACCATGATATTATTCCTTATTTTTACTGTAATTTTATATATATTGGCTTCTGTGCGTAATGATTGAACAAAATTAGTGGCCCAAGTCCGAGAAATCACCCTTCAATGAAGCAGCCATTTGTTATTTTTTAAATGAAACTTTATTTAAATGCATGATTAGTGAGTATTGACGGGTTGTCCAAAAAAAACAGCCACAAATAACTTTAATTCAATTTAGTGTTACGTACACGCCTAAACGCTCCACTAGATATGCTAGTAACAATGTCCTCATTCGTATAGCACGGACGTCTAACACTAAATTTAACGAACTTGAACTTTTCGAGATTTTGGTACACACATTTAAACAGCGACTTTTGTCGTTCGTTCGAATACGTTCAGTTAGGGTTACCATATCTCAGGATTTGTCCTGAGATTTCAGGTTTTTGGACTCTTCTCAGGAATGCGGCTGGATTTTGCAAATCTCATGAAATCTCAGGATTTTTTGTATTTCCAATAAAATACAGCTTACGTTTTAAAGATCTCTTTAATAAAAAGTTAAACAAACTAAAAATAATCTTCTTTTGGTAATAATTGCACAATTAAAATCAGTACTTTATTATCCAAGTTATTCTTAACTTAATCAGTTTTATCATACTTAATATGTGAAGATACATTTTTAAGTAAGGTTTTTTTCTTTAATTATGGATTCATATAATGCCCCACGTGTTAAGCTCAAGCTAAGTGATTTAAAAGTATAAGCAGAGTATAAACGATAATATTACGACTTTTTTAAATTGTTAAGTACGTTTGAGAGAAAATTCCCAAACTGTAAAAAATCTCAGGATTTTTCAATGGAAATCAAACTTTTTCTCCGGACTTTTGATTTTATCATCTGGTAACCCTACGTTCAGTATGTTATTACGGCAATATTACATACCATTCCTCATACTCGGGTCGCCAGGAGCAGTTGGTGGTGAAAGATAATGTACTCAATCCTCCATTACATACAATAAATTTATTAGTTTTAGGTTTAATGCAATAGATCATGTCTTCCCACATCCTAGTTCATTTGAATTTTTTTATAGAAAACCTATTATTAGCCTTGTTATTAGAAAATATAAGAAAAAATGTATTTTTGTTAAGGCTTTTGCTTTTCTGAATAATATTTTTATTTTTTTGTCATTTTTACTGACATACTACATATTATTTTCTGTATACCTGAAAGTTGCTCTGTATTCGCTCTGCATTTAGCGACAAATTGCACACATTATTGTAATTACATCTGTTGTGGCTGTACCTTTTAGTGTGGGAGCAATAAATGTATTATTAACATTATTATAACTCATCCTGGGCATGATGGCGCTCTGGCCAAGTCGATGCGTGTTCTAGCGCTGACATCATGCTTTGCTCTGCTTTCTTTGTCATCATCAGCGAAAGCTCTCAAAACTCTACTACTAGAAGTGATCGCTTTGAAAGACAAAACTGCCATTGCCTACATTATCGTTACTACGTCTAATGAACCTGTATTTTTTAGTGTGTGAGCAGATGTGTTTCTTATGATAATTCACCCGGGAAAATTGGCGCTATGGCCAAGTCGGTGTGAGTTCTGACGTCATCTCCAAACTCTACTCTTTACGGTTGTCTGGAAGAGATCGCTTTTAGTGCTAAGATCGCTTTCACCCAAATTGTTGATACTTTGTTATACCTTACCTGACCTTTAGTAAGGGAGCAATAAAGTTTATTATTGTAACTGACCCTGGACAGGATGGAGCTCTGACCAAGTCGATGCGAGTTCTAATATCTCCAAGCTCTCTGGAAGGTTGTCTCGAAGAGATTGCTTTTAGTGATAAGAATGCCATAGCCTAAATTATTGTTACTTTGTCTGTTGTACCTGTATCGTTTAGTAAAGGAGCAATAAAGTTTATCATTGTAACTCACCCTGGACACGATGGCGTTCTGACTATGTTAGTTTTTGGACTGACCTCATAGGCGAACGCTCCCTAAGTTCTACTTTGGAAGGTTATCTCGAAGGGATGGCTTTAATAGACAAAACTGCCATTGCTCACATTTTTGTCACTATGTCTAATGTACCTGTATCCTTTCGTGTGCGACTAAAAAAGTGTTTAATTAATAATATTAAATAAACACTTTTTTAGTCAATAACTCACCCTGGGCAAGATGGCGCTCTGACCAAGTCGATGCTAGTTCTGACGTCCTTGGCGGGCGCTCTCCGAGACGTACTCTGGAAAGTTATCTGAAAGGGATCGCTTTGAGACACAAAACTGCCATTGTTCACATTTTTGTCACTTTGTCTAATGTACCTGTTTTCTTTTGTGTCTGACCAAAAAAGTGTTATATTTTATTATTATAACTCACCCTGGACAAGATGGCGCTCTGACCAAGTCGATCCGTGTTATGGGGCTGACGTCATTAGCGGATGCTCGCCAAGCTCTGCTCTCGGATACTGCGCATCCGGGGATCTCACAGCAACCGTCACTGTCCAGCGATTCATCTGTCCAGAATGCCAGCAATATTAATGACATAACTCATATGTGAAACGATGCATGCCTAACATTTATAGTTACTTATGTGCCATGGTTTGCTATAATAAATTGTTGTTGTTAATAGAAAATTTAACTTTGTTTTTCTTTTGATAAAAGCAGAGTTAAATTTGACATAGGTTTTAAAGGTTTATTTTTTACACGGCACTTAACAAACAAATTAAACTTAACAAAATAATATTAAGAATTTTGAAAGATAAATTATCCACCCCTATGCGTGACCAGAAAATTTTCTCAAACATTAAAAGTACTTTGTTTCCGTTATGAAATGTAGAGGTTATTTTAAACTGTCTTACTTGGCCATTGTCGTTACTGGATACAACCTTCGTAAATCTACAGTTATCTTTATGCATCCTTCATAAAAAAATATTGATTCTGAATCGTCACTACATATGAATAAGAATTTCACACTAACAAACTATTATTTTTTCTACGAAAGCTTCAGTTTCAAATTAAAATACTCGTAAATTGATAGTAAGCTGGTAAGCGTATACCGGTTCGAGATGGAACATAAACTATCGCAGTGCGCTCTCTAACGCATCTGTCTTACAAAATGATGACGAGGAAATTTTAATAAAGAGACATATTGATATAGTAATATGCTCAGATTGTAACACTCAGGGATTTAAATCAAAGTTGCTGATATTGGAATAAAGCTGACTAGTAAAACCACTTACTTCCTAGATTGAAATGCAATGCAAAGTATTATGTACTTAGTATTTACAAGTGATGTTTTGAAATGATATGACACGTATCAAAGATTTGACTCGTATTACATTACGTTCATCTAATAGGCATCAACATCGTCCTATATTGTCATTCAAGATCAAGTAGCGTCGTAAAAGTTATGTAAAAGCGTCTACATGACGAAGACAACCATTTTAAGGCCTTTTTAACATTGAAAATGATTTATCGTTCGCTCCAGTAGGCTATTTTCGCTGAAAGTGCGACTCGCCCGTGATACCCCGAGGTTTAGGGCTACGAGGACGTATGAGGGCTCAAAAGACGCGGAATTTGAAGAGCTTAAAGTTGATGTATGATATTTTGGAAATGCTGGTTTAGAAAAAGAAAATATTGTTTTGGAAAAGAAAAATATTTATCATCAACAAGTTTCAAGTTTTTTTTTAATAATCTTTAATAGGTATCATTCATTTTCAATGCCCTTTCAAGTCGTATAGAGTACGAAATCTGTGAATATTTTGTTAGTTGATTGGTTTTTTTTTGAGAGGATGTTATTTTTCCATTTTGTTTTAAAACGTTAACCGATTTTGAGTAGTTTTAGAGTATACGTACCCTAAGAGAACAGAAACTCCTTTTATTGGAAACTAGCGGCCAACCGCGACTTCGTCCGCGTGATCTTTGCTTTTTCATAATCCTATGTCTCAATATGAGTCATAAACTGATATTAGTAGGATTAGCGGCCGCACGGGATTTTGTCCGCGTTAACTTTGGTTTTATGAAAATCCCACAGGAACCTAACATTTTCCGGGATAAAAAGTATCCTATGTCTCAATATAGGTCTTAAACTATATCCGTAACAAATTTCATCCAAATCAGTTCAGTAGTTTTTACGTGATTGAGCAACGAACATACAAGCTTTCAAATTTATACAATTAGTAGGAAGTAGGATCACATTTATTTAGTACATCATCTCACCTCTGCAGGACTCGAGACGCGATAAATTGATGAAAATTCCGTCTTCCTCGCTTATACTTTGGCTGGAATGTGGTTTCTCCAACTGCGCGCTGCACGCCTTTTTCAAAACGCTCTGGTGTAATAAGATTTAATTTGTATGTGATATTGCACGGTAGTGAAATACATCTTCTGTTAATTAATAGACACGTTTTACTAAAACACTTAGCTACATTTTTACATCGAATTTCATAAAGTGTACTTCTTGTGAAAATTTATCTCTTGGTTTCTTTAATATAATGTAGGCATGGAACAATAATGTAGGTAAAAGAAAATATGCATAGCATCAAGTTCAAACTATATAACTTATAAAAAAATGTTTTAATAGCATAGAGAGTAACACGGCCGACGCGGCCAGGAGGAGTTAGGCATACACAGCTTTCCCGTCTGTCGATTTGGGTATAGAAAATGGGCATACAAACTATATATACTTATTATGTGTGCAGAATTTGGCGGTGTCGTCTTGTGAGATGGTTGTTTGCATATATCCCCCCCGCAAAAAATCGCAAATGATTTGAATAGTAATGGTAGCTATGGCTTCTTCCTTCCGTGTTGGTCTTTGTTTAATAGTGATGATTTTGTTTTACTCAAGTATAAAGCTCCCAGTCAGGTAAATCTAAAATATATTTTACATAGGGATACTCACAGAACTTACCCTGTAGTGTTTCGTAGTGTCTGGTATGGACGGTCGATTGCGTCTCCACCGCGCGGCTTGGCGTTGCAGATCACATAGCCTATGATGGGACCATGATGTGTTCATACCACGCAACTCTTCTACTGCTTCTGCTATCTGGACCACAAAAGATTCTTGCCTGTAAGTGCGCTTCTTAACGACCGGTTTTCCGCCGGGCATAGGCTCGGTTTCTACGCGGGCCTGTGCTGGCTATGTTCGCGAGCACGGTTTGTACTTGTGTACCAATCCCAAACCAGGTAGCGCCGGTGTCGTTCCCAAACCTCCATAGTGTCCCATACTAAACTGACGACCGGACGTAGACACGGTTTAAAATCGTGCCTAGACCCAAGTAGAAATCGTTTCGTCAACAAGCGCCTTAAGTGTGTGTGAACACAAACCTTGTGCAAGAAGCTAAAGCGTAGATTATTCCCACCAAATGTAAGGGAACAAATACTTGTATTGGTGTACATAATAAATGCACCTATCGTGATTCGAACCTGAAGAACCTCCGAAGCAAAAAGTAGAATCGTTGCAACAACAAGCTTCATATTTGGTTGAAACAGTCTCGATTTTTAGGGTTCCGTACCCAAAGGGTAAAAACGGGACCCTATTACTAAGACTCCACTGTCCGTCTGTCTGTCTGTCCGTCTGCCTGTTACCAGCCTGTAACTCCTGAACTGTGTTAGCTAGACAGTTGAAAATTTCACAGATGATGTATTTCTGTTGCCGCTATAACAACATATAAGTACTAAAAACAGAATAAAATAAATATTTAGGGGGGCTACCATACAAAAAACTTGATTATTTTTGCCGTTTTCTGCTCTATATTATAACTATGTAAATAAATATAAATATTTAAGGGGCGCTCCCTTACAACAGACGTGATTGTTTTGCTCGATACTATAATATAGTAACTAATGTTGTATAGATAATATAACACAACCCTTCGCGCGAGTCTGACTCGTACTTGGCCGGTTTTTATTAATATACAATTAAGTGTTCATTCCATTCGAAGAGTAAGAAAGGAGGTAGATACCTCCTTTCTTACTCTTCGGATGGAATGAAATGAAAAGCACCTTTTGCACCACAACAAGAAAGACTAGAAAGTATACTTATGCACCCACGCTTTCGAGCAGAAACCAAAAAAGGTTTCATCATTTTAGGAGCCGGATTATATGAAACGAATGATTTAAACCATTTATGGAACAAAAATAATGCATTATTATAACGATAGTTTTAAGATAAAAACAAGTTTATTATATTAACACAGTTTTTTAAATATTACAAGTACAAGTTCTTTAAAATGGTAACTTGTTACATTGTAAAATTATTATATTATAAAGTAGCAGCAGTACCTATTAAAAAATCTTATTAGCGCTCTTCGAATATTATGATTACATTATGTGTAATGTTATATTTATATCTGGTTGGTTTTAATTACAAATGAATTATTCACCTCCCGTTTTTGCTCCTCTTCTGCTTCTATCGCTCGCTGGTGCAGCAGCTCCTTATCAAGCTGCGCGACCTCCTGTGCTTCTCGAGCCTGACATTCTTTCTCCTTTAAATAAGGTAAAAGAAACTTGTTGTTTTATTCATTACTGTGTAAAAACATGACGAGTGAAATTTACAAGTCGCTTACTAAAAACCTCTGGGGAAAGGTGAGTTGAGAAAATCGACGGTATTTAAGTAATTAATACATCGATTGTTAAAACACGTTCAAAAGTTAGTCCAATCTAGAAATTTTCATCATTAAATTTGAAGGTTTTGTATGATTTTCATTTTGCATAGGCATACCATGATACCGTATAGTTGATAAATGACCCAATTCAGCCATAACCTTATATAGACAATATTTAACGAATCACGAAAGTTATACAATGTTGTGGAATAGGAAGTTAACTATATACCTAATTAGAAAGAGATCTCACTACCAAACATAAAATCTTGCTTGAAATTAGACAAGCCGTATTTATATTTCAATTCCAAACATTTAACTGCAAGATGTTTAAATAGGAAGAAAATTTAACTAAAAACAATTACTTCCACTCGGTCCATCCCGTCCTAAGCTCGGAGGAATTTTTTACAGTAAAATTTTCTTCAGATTTAGACAAGTTCTTTACAATTATTTGACTTAAGTAGATACTGGTAGTGTATGTTGCGTAAATTTTAGATTATTTTGTATGTTTACCGATACTGACCTTTTGCATTTGCTTCTCATGCTCAATTTTTTGTTGTTCGAGTTCTTCTTCTGGTATAGGCGGAGTTTCATCACCACTGGAGGTATGCTTCGCTCCTTAAATAAATTCGACACTATACGCAAATCGTCGACGAAGTATTAGATAAGCAACTTTATAGCAACTTATTTACGTGCAGAGACATTGCCACGAAAGATACAATTACATAAAACCGTATTTACATTAAAAACCTAAACCCTGTAGGACGTGACCTAAACCCTGAAGGAACCTAAACCCTATACGTGAACCTATGAAATTATTTTTATTTCAGTGATCTCCCATCAAAAACAAGAAATATCTGATGGGTTTATCCATCAGATATTTCTTGTACAAAAACATTACGAGAAACATGAAAATACACGCTTACCAGATGGTGGATGATAAGATATCCAAAATTGATGCGCCAGTTTTGCACACAAATTAGGGTCAAAACTAAATTATTGTTCGTTTATTTTATTTACCGTTATTGAATGCGTTTACAGGATGAAATACCAAAAACTACACTGGCTCTTCGATGTACAAACCGAGATATTTATTCATAGAAGTTTATTTTCATGGTTACGTGTACGTGGTGTGTTATGCATGGAACTGGCAAACGTCCAACGACTGAATCAATGCCATAGGGATTGAATTTTTATTGAAAAAAATCTCGTTTCACAAAATATTTTTTTTTTGCAATTCATTAAGAATCATATTTCGTATACCTACGCTAGAAATTCGTAAGGCTATTTGGTTTTCGTACAGTGAATGCGTTATCACTATCAGGATATCTAGGCAGTTACAACTGAAATGTATTTTATTCAGTCTAAATGGACTTGTGAAAGTTAAGACGCTATCAGGTCCTAGTTATTATATCCGGCGAGGAACCTCGTACCTACTGAGAACAACCAAGAAGATTTTTTTTCGTTTTTCTCTTGCCTTGTTTAAATGTCATAAAGATTTTTATCATTCCTAAAACTCAATGAAGTGATAAAAACGCACTTAACTAAAAAAACTCTGAATACATTATCACACTACACTTTTATTTTAAGCAATCGTGTGACGTGCACATTTTGTTTTTAGTTAGCACGGCTGGGGGGTGTTCTTATGAGATGGAAAATAGAGAAAAGGCAGTAGCGGATGAACCCCACAAGGTCAACGGTTCTTCGAGGAGGCTACATTCCTGGCATTAACCGGCTATAAAAACCGTACTAGATTGTACCCCAGTGTTTATCATAAAAGCGAGCAAAGTATAATGCATTAACACAAGGGCGTTCACTTCTAGCGACGATCAGTGTATCGAAAGATACAAATATTTAAAGGGCGTCACCCTCCAGCGACGGACTAACATGCATGTAGCTACGAAATCTCGGTCCCTAGGCCGGACGCTTCCAAGAACTAGCAAAAATATTATATGAACGCAAAATACTATATGGACTCAAAAACTACGACCCTAAGTTCAACAAAGTGTTAAATTGGCCAAAAGTTTCGTATAACTATAACTATAATTGCTGTTCCTTCTGTCAAATGTTTAATACTTGTAAAAGTATTCATTTGACATTGTGGGTTACCTATAATGCGAAGGGATGGCGCTGCCTTGCAGCTTAAGAATGGCTAGAAGAATTTCGACGCGGTCCGTGAGGGCCGCGGTAGCATAATTGGTCAGTGCATTCGCCCGGATTGCGAAGGGTGCGGGTTCGAGTCCCGTTTGCTACCTGGTGCGCGTGGATTTTTTTTCTAGTTATATTTTCTTTAGATTTAAACATCAAGCAGTTACATGCTTTAAAATAATTAGGTAGAAATTTTAGATGCATCTCTTTAAAAATCAATGTAATATCAAAAGAAAAAAGTTTTGAATGGGTAAACGAGGTTCGTTAATTCGCTTTTAATATATTTTTACAATACTTTTGCTATTACTTTTCATTTGATACTATGTATAAAAAAGTAGATTATTTGGAATAAAGGGGATGCTTAGCAAATTAAGCAGAAACTTGTCGCAAAGATATTGGGCTAGACTTCATTGCACCGGTTATTTAAGCCAAGAGCTTTAAAATGTATCTCCTGTTGGAAATGTAATGCTGTTGCATTACATGGCTCAAAAAAGTAACTTCCATAGTCTAAAATACTTCGTAAAAGAGCTTTGTAAATAATTTTCAAAGTTATAATATTCAAAAATCGTTCGCATTGTTTAGTTTTGGACCGGAATAGATTTATTGTCAAACCACACGAAAACAGAAGAGGGCAGGCGCATTCTAGAAAAAAAAAACACTACGAAACTTTTTGAAATGGAGAGATGAAACAACTACTTCCTTAAAATATTACTTATTTTTTTTTAATGGATCGTAACGTAAAATCAAACCGTCTGCATAATGTAATTGCGACCATTGTAAGAATCACTGTCTGGCTTTTCAAAAGCATTATCTAGGTCATGTTTGTTTAAAAATGTTATACAAGATAGGACCCAGGGTCGTTCGGTTTAAAATAACAACCTGTGCAGACCAGGGACTTTTGTCTGCAGATTTTTTTGTCTGCCTAAATAGATCGCTTACAACTGCATCCAGTAACACTCACGACGGATTAAAAGTACCGCGTACAAAAAGTCCATCGAACAACCGAGGCAAGGGCTCCTAGAGACCGGACAGGATAGATGTACGCGGGTGTCCGTAAAAGATCCGACTTAAAAAGGAGGACCCAGTATTCTCCTTTAAAACGTCTTCTCTTTTCCTTAAACTTCGTTAGTAACAACACAACGTATGTGAAAATATTTAATTCCACAGCGTGCGCTACTTTAAAATTTCGGGCAAAAAATGTTCGCACACCGTGTGCTTTGAGCCCGTTAGAAGTCCGCGGCGGACATTTTTTCACGATTGATGGACTTTTGTCCTCTGCGACCAAAAGTGACTAAAAGTGCGCAGACCCGCAGACTATAGTGAATTAGTGACAAAATAAATTAAACCTATTACTTACCAATTATAAGAAAAAAAATACAGTATGGACACTAAATAAATTTAAATAGCCTAAAATATAAAAACTATACTACCCAGTTCCAATTAACATTAAAAATTTAACTATAATTTTTTTTTTATGACCAGCTAAACCGAAGTTTCCCGCGCTTTCTCAGCTTTTTAACATCCCGCCAAAAGTAAGCTGTCCTTTTTTGCCATATTCTCGTTTATGAGAAGGCAAAGGCTGTGGAGTCCATACAGTTTAGTTTTTAGCATGCAAACAAATAAACTTATATTTACACTAAAAAGAGGGTATGCTGCATCATTATGTTTCTTGTAGTATTTTGCATTAATTTATCGAGTCAACTTTCTCAATAACCTTCTGTGAGATAGTCAGCGCTACAATAAAGTTCTCATGTCCACTTGACCGATCAATCAAGGCTTTGAGAATCAGCAAAGGGTACAGTGCGATGTGCGAAACATAGAGACTCTGAAATTAGCGCAAGTAGTAGCGCAGTACACAAAATTTTTAGCGTTTTGATGTGACGATGTTTGAGTTTAGATGTGTGGTTCGTGCATACAATTTTCTTATTTAATCACTCATTAAATAAAAAAATGTGTGCGTGAGAACATAAGAAAAACCTTAAATTAGCGACTGTCGTGAGATGCAGGTCACAAAAAATAGATTCTTTTTCATGTTTTTGGTGACCTTGACCCTTCCACATCACCTATGAAATTTCAAAAATTTTGATATCAAATTCAGATTCAGGAAAAAAAGTTTTTCGTTGTTTTAGATAAGCTTGATCCTTAGAGTATACATTAAACTATAGAGCACCAGTATCGCTCTGGCCCGTTATGCCCAGCGTAAACAAAAGTTCTATAGATAGTTATGGTATAGCGCTTTCATAGTGTTTTTCCCCATGCATGACGACATTTCTGCTAAAATATCGATAGTTTCTATTATTATGTCTTATGTACTGTAATGATTTCTGTGGTTAGGTTTACTATGAAATTATGAACATTAGGTTGGCAAATACAAAATTTAACGATCTGGTTCTTTGATTTTTGTGAAATATTCATAAATTTTTTAGACTATTTTTTTTATATTTGTTTCATGGGTGGCCTGATTAAAAAACATTTTATTTTCGTTATATTTTATTTTTTATTTCTAGCTAAAAAGAAAACAAGACCCCTTATTGGATCATTTCATGTAAATGTGTTACAGGTCGTACACATTTTAAGAATAAATAAGCTGTGATCTTAAAAGAAAACATGTATTTTTTATTATTTATGTATTTATATAACCGCTACATAATATTGTGGCGAGGATAATCTACTTGACTTATTTTATTTAATACGAAAATCGCAAATTATATTTTACAAGACTTTTATTTATTTGACATATTAAAATAGACAACAATAAATTCGAAAACAAACTAATCTCTTTTTAGAAATGTAATCCACCAGTGCTGCAATCATAGACATAGTATTTGTACTTATGGCTGCACTCGACATCCTGCCACTCGAAAAGCAAAACAGGTTCATTGCCACAGTTTCTTGGGTGGCTTAACCTAACGTCCACTGCGGGTGGTACAAGGCGCAGGATTCTTCTGTTGCACTACGTCCTTCTCTGGATCCACTTTGTCCACGACTTCTCCCTCCTGATCAGGCTTTTCCGTCGCATCACTAACATGTATCTCGTAATGCGTTATTTCTAGTGGATATAATTTGCGCACCGCTCTGATGAAGTCTCCATTCTCCGTTTTCACCTTGACTACCCGCACCTTCCCATCTGGACCAGGAAAAGTTTCTGTTATGATAGCCAAAGGCCAGTTCATGCGTTTCGACTATTTCTCCACCAATACTACATCTCCCACTTTCAAACTGTGTCTCTTACTTTCTTGCGCTTCTTTCTGACGGTGGACGAGCAACGCTAGATAATCTGAGCGAAATCTTTGCCTCACATCCAGCCGCAGCTTTTGAACGTACATCAAACGTCTATTCAAGCTTTTACCGTTAACGATATCTAAATCCAGTACATTATTACTTGGCAGCGGATAAATGAAATGATTTGGTGTCAATGGCACTAAATCTTCAGATTCGGACACGTATGTAAGTGGCTTCACATTTATGGCAGCCTCGATGTCACATAGCACCGTTAGTAACTCCACGTAATTTAGTTTTACATTACCAAGTACCCTACGTAACAATGCCTTTACCATCTGCACCATCCTCTCCCAAAATCCACCCCACCAAGGTGCTGCTGGTGGGCTAAAGTGCCATTTTATCTGATTACAATGTGGATTCAGTACTATATCATTCCAGTCGATATTTTCGAGCAAATCGTGAGCTCCAGTAAAGTTGCTACCATTATCCGAATAAATTATTTTCACCCTTCCTCTTCTCGCGATAAAACGTCTTAACGCACTTATAAAAGCTTCGGTCGACAAAGACTCTACTAATTCCAAATGTAAAGCTCGATATACTGCACATGTGAAAAGGACAATATAACATTTTTCTCCATTTGCTAGAAACAATGGGCCTGCCAAATCAATTCCCGTTATTTCAAATGCTACTGCCAAACCTACTCTATCATAAGGCAGTGATGCTAAAGGCGTCTCGCAAGCTTTTGCACTATATTGCTTGCATTTTATACAGT